TTATACATTTATAGATATTTTACAATTACATTAATTTTTAATATTTTCATTTTTAAGAGAAGTTCTAGGTTTACAGCAAAATTGAGAAGGAGATACAGAGATTTCCCATATCCTCACTGCCTAAACACATGCATGGCCTCTTCTGTTATAAATATCCCCCACCAGGGTGGTACATTTGTTTTAATTAATAAATGTACATTGACACATCCTTATCACCCAGCGTTCATGGTTAAAATTAGGGTTCACTCTTGGTATTGTATATTCTCTGAGTTTTTTCCTAAAAATCCTTTGTGCTTTGACTGTGATTCCCTTTCTTGCCCAATCCCTTTTGTTAATATTTTAATGGTATATTTCAAATTTCATTTAAATTTTATTACAAATTAATTTTTACTTGACACGTTTTTTTTTAATTGACTTTTTCTATATCAAACTACCTTGCAAAATTTACTAAATATTTATTTGTCAATTTGGGGTGTCTTATATTTACCATTATATTATTTAAGAATAATGCCTGCTTTATTTTCATTCACTTATTATGCTATTTATTTATTTTCTTGTGTTAGTTCACTTGCTGGGACCATTAGTATAATAGTAAATTAATGTGGTGGTCACGAATATCTTTGTTTACTTCTGAATCTTAAAGTGAATGTTTTCAACATTTCACAAATTAGGTATACTCATCAGATCAAATCATTTCTCTTCTTGTTCTTGTTTGCTAAGGACCTTTATCATGAATACATATGTATATTCAATACCTTTTTGATCCATATTGAGAAGATCAGATACTTTAAGAATTTGTTAGTGTGTTGAAAAACATAGTCTTTGCTATTGTATTTACATATTAGGTGTATTACAACAGATAGATAACAATAACTTACCAATGTTGAGATAAATTATAGCTTGACAGTAATAATATTTAAATATGTTTTGGTTCATTTTGAAAATTAAAAATGAAAAACTAATTTTGGAAATTTCTTTAGTGAGTTTAATATTAATAATGAAATAAAGATATAAATAAATGCTGTAGAAATGTAGAGGACTATAGGAATATATTATGAATAGCTTTGTATCAATCAATTTTTAAATGTGCGTAAAATATACTAAGAATCAGAAAAATGTCAATTGCCAAGATTCACATCCACTGAAGCAGAAAAATCTAAAGAATTCTTATCTGTAACACAAATGTAATCAATAATGATGGAACTTTCTGCAAAGAAAACTTCAGACCCATTGTCATTAGTGAATCCTAGCTAACAGTTTTTAAAGTAATGCCTATTGTATTAGTTTTCCTTTGCTGCCATAACAAATCATCACAAATTCAGTGTCCTTAAACAGTACAAATATATTGTCTTCCTGTTCTGTGGTTCAGAAGTCTGATACATGCCTCCTGAGGTAAAATTCAAGCACAGTTGAATTTCTTCCCCGAGGCTCTAGGAAGGAATGTGCTTTCTTGCCCTTCTCAGCTGAAGGAGCCTGCCCATACTGCCTGGCTGATGTCACTTTCTTCCATCCTTAAAATCAGCAAAGCCTGGCTGGGCGCGGTGGCTCAAGCCTGTAATCCCAGCACTTTGGGAGGCCGAGGCGGGTGGATCGAGACCATCCTCGTCAACATGGTGAAACCCCGTCTTTACTAAAAAAAAATACAAAAAATTAGCTGGGCACAGTGGCGTGTGCCTGTAATCCCAGCTACTCAGGAGGCTGAGGCAGGAGGATTAACTGAACCCAGGAGGCGGAGGTTGCAGTGAGCCGAGATCGCGCCATTGCACTCCAGCCTGGGTAACAAGAGCTGAACTCCGTCCCGGGAAAAAAAAAAAAAAAAAAATCAGCAAAGCCATGTCTAGTTCTACCCATGCTCCTACTTCTCTTATTCTTTGCGGTTAGCATAGGTTCTCTACTTTTGAGGATTTATGTAATCATATTAAATTCGCCCAAATAATCTTGGCTGATTTCTCCCATTTCCTGATCCTCAACCTTAATCACATCTTCAAAGTCCCCCTTGCCTTACAAAGTAATGTTAGTCACAGGTTCCAAAAATTAGAGCATGAATACTATTAGGGAGCCATTATTCTGCCTACTTCACTCATCTCTCCAAATAGAGATAGATAGTAGATAGTTAGATGGATAGGTGGATGGATGGATGGATGGATGGATGGATGGATGGATGGATAAATAGGTAGGTAGGTTGATAGATAGAGCCATATAATATATATAAAATAAAAAACAGAAAAATAGACAACTCATTTATGAGTTCAACACAATAGGGGCACCAGAACCTGAAAATAACATATGAACTGTAAAATCACAAGCTAATCTCCTCACAAAAATAGAAAACAAAGCTCCAATACAAAATATTTAAAAATAAATAATTTTTAATAAAAATATTAGTGTACTTAAGCAAAAGAGGCTTTATTAAAGAAATACTTAGATGTTTGATTTAGCTTTTTTTAAAGAAAAGTCAAGTGAAGTAACCACTGCATCGTCAGAAAAAGTTATAAAAATATATAATCCAGTCAATAGAGACCAGGATAAATTCAAGATCCAATCAAAATAGAAACTATTTGCAAACCAGGTTTATTGTGGGACTTTATTAATAAATCTTAATAAAAGTTAAATGTAAAAAGCTTTCTGCAAGCAGCGTAATTGATATCAACATATTGAAAACTGTCATTTTGAGAAAAAAAAACAGGACAAAGAAGCACATCAGCAATACACCTGCACAACACTGAACCAGAGATCTCGGTCACTGTTATTAGACATTAATTAAAATTGTAAGGATTAGGAAGAGAATATTAAAAATCTTTGTATTCACATAAAATTCAGAAATTAATAGATAAGCTATAATTAATAAGTGTAGTAATTATGTTAAATATAAGGTCACTATTTTTACGTCTTTACTAGATTAACAGTTAATACAGAGTAAAAATGAAATAAAGTTAAAAATTAAATCAGAAATGTCAAATATCTATGTATAAATTTGACCACGTATGGGCAAAATCTCTATGCAAATAATTCCAAAACTTTTTTGAGAACAATTAAAGAAGATTAAAATAAATAGAGGAATGTTTCATGTCTATGGATTGGAAGATTAAATATTATAAAATGTCAATTCAGACTGAACAACTTGGTGCACATCTGTAATCCCAGCACTTTGGAAGGCTGAGGTCAGAGGATCACTTGAGGCTAGGAGTTCAAGTTTAATACCAAGAATATGAAGATTAAAAAATATATAATAATTGAGTTTGTGATATGGCATAAAGATTAAAATATAAATTAAAAAATGAAAGAATAAAGAGATCAAAACTCATACCCATAAATAATCAAAAGTTTTTAAACAGAGCAGTCAAAGATGGATGGTATTTTCAATCAATGATTCCATAGAAATTTTACACCCAAATAGAAATTAACAAAATTAATTCCTAAATTACATCTTATAGGAACTTTCCCTCCAGGGGAATTATAAATCTAGACACGCAAAGCATAACAACAAAACTTTAGAAGAGATCATAGGAGTTGCAGAAAGATACATGAAATGGAATGCAAGAAGAACTGACCATAGAGGAAAAGATGGCAAGTCTGGGGCAAATTAAAAATTAGTAGGACACCGTGAAAGGAATAAAAGCACATGTTACAGTTTTGCTGGAATGATTTACATGACTAATAAATACTTGACAAATACTCATGTCCATAATATGAAGAGATATTTCAGTCAATAACATACAGACAAATAGTCTCTTAGGAAGTGCACTGAAATTAGAATGGATACCTTTCAAAAGAGGCTAACACAATGACCAATAAAGACAAAATGGTGCTTATGTTCATTAGGCATTACGTAATTACAAATTCACTGCAGAATGGTATCTGACTATATACACAGCAGGATGCCTAAGAGTATGACTGACAAGCGTGTTTAGCTAGAATACACATAACTGAGAACTTGCATACTTCGTGCATCGGCTTGGGAAAACCACTGGGCATTGTCTACATATGCTGAAATCTGCATTATCTCATAATCATCAATTCTATTCCTGGGTCATATCTAACAGAAATACATGGGCATGTGCCCCAGGGACACACATACACACAAGAATCTTTATGATGCATCTTTCATAACAGCTAACAATGAGAAATAAACCAAGTACCCTGACAAATGTATCATGCTTGATTCAGCAGTGTAATAATATACAGGTTTGCAGATTGAATGAAATACGCTACATCCCACAAGGCAGCTTGTTCCACAAACATAACATTGAGTGGAAGAAGGAACAGAGAATATAATACATGGAATGGTCCCATTTATGCAAAGATAAAATAAAGTAGACAGTGTTAAATTGTAGTGTGAAGAGACACATATGTATTTACTAAAACTAAAAACCTTGGAAGGAGAGAAAGCAATGGGGTAGCTACCTTAAAAGTCAGGTTAGTGGTTACATTTTCTTTTTCTTTTTTGAGACAGGGTCTTGCTCTGTCACCCAGGTTGGGGGGCAGTGGTATAATCTCAGCTCACTGAAACCTCTACCTCCTGGGTTCAAGCAATTCTCTTGCTTCAGCCTACTGAGTAGCTAGGATTACAGGTGTCACCATCATGCCTGGCTAATCTTTGTATTTTTAGTAGAGATGGGGTTTCGCCATGTTGCCCGGGCTGGTCTCAAACTCCTGACTTCAAGTGATCTACCTGCCTTGGCTTCCCAAAGTGCTGTCATTACAGGCATGAGCAAAGCCACTGTGTCTGGCCCAGGCATAATGATTAATTTTATTCACAGCAGGACATAGAGATGGGAAGGAGACAACAGAATTCTCTGGAGTGGCAGCAAAATTTGTATTTTCTTTTTGATCTTCGTGATGGTTGCATGAACAGCTATAGCTGTAGCTATAGTTTTATTTGATTTATTGCATGTATATTATACTCTGCCTTGAAAATGAGAATTATTTGTTTTGCTTTGTTATTAAAGAAGATGAAAAACCACTTAATGGTTAGAATATTTTTCTATTTCTTTCCTAAGGAAAATACCAGTCTCTTGGACCATTCTGTACTGACTCAAGAGTGGAAGAGAAATGCTTGTTGGAGGCTGTTCCTCAGGACACATACTTTCACAACTAGTTTTGAGTTCTCTCAGATCCAGATGAAACATGCGAAAAGATAAATGGCTTGGTAAGTCTCAAATTCAAAATTTTTGGCAGGAATCATCTCTCAATAACAATTGTGGAGTCTCTGTTTTATATATTTCATGTGTGCCATGAGGATATCACTTGGGAGAATATGTGTAACCTGTGAAAAGAATGGGTAGAAGTCATGTGACAAGTGTCCCCCCGCCACTACTTTATATGTGAGAAAAACAGAGTTCAAAGAGATTATGTGACCAGAACACAGGTTTTCAATGCCAAACATGAGGTACCACCTGTGAAAACAAACTGCTACGAGTTAATCATTTGATTTTGAGCCCCTTTACCACAATCATTTGTAAAATAAAGAAGACGAGACCAGATGAACTCCGGAGTCTCTGTCAGCTTAAAACTTCAGACTCTAAATCTTGATAATAATCCAAATAAATTTTGCCAAATGCTTTACATAAAAATAAAGAATATTAAGGAATCCTGAATGGATCCACTCTTAAATATATTTTGATCAAACTAATAACTATTCTTAATATATTTCAGAACAATACCTCAAAGTGATTGTGAACTGATAGAGGAAAGTTCCCTAGTATTTCTTTCATAATCCTTAGAGTCAGGTTCTTTTTGAAATTACTTTTGTTCAAACAAAGAATCAGAGAGCTAATATAAAAGTGGTGTCTGTAATTTCATTTCCTATGGTTCAAATATTGAGTTCTTTCAAATGAAATGTGAGTGTTTCTAGATTTAAACCAGGTTGATTTAGAATTCATTATTCTAAAATGAATGCCTTAAAATTTAAAATGTATTCAAAATATGTACTGGAGATTTTGTAGATTCTGAGTCAAAGTAATTTGAAATAGAAATTTTGACAAATGAAGATAATTTTGCACATATTTGTCTTGAATAGAGCAGGAGATATTTACAAATATTTTAAATATCTACGGTTCAACTTATTTCTGATCATTTCATTTGTTAATTCCAGGAATGTTGTAGTACTTTAGGAATATTTTATTTAAAATAAGAGTAGATTTAAAATTATACTTAAAAGAATAAGCCTCAGGTAATGAAAAAATACACCTATTGGAAAGGTGGAGCCCTTGAATATGATGGGTAAAAAAATGGCACTATTCTAGAGTTAGGTCTATTTTCTGTAAAGCATGGAATTTAATATCTAGAACACTGGCATCCTATGAGCACGAATGAACTGTAATTGCTGTTCAGTTTCATGCCTGAAACATAATAGAGAACTCACAGTAAAAAAAAAAAAAAAAAAAAATCACTGTAACAGACAGAAAGGACTCTACTTTTAATTTGCAATGATACCCAACCATTGTGAACAAGCTCTGCCAACACCATCTGCTCCACAAAGGAAAGTTGCTGATGATTGCAGCTCTAAGTGGAATCGGTTCTCTCCCACGATAGCAGAAGGTAAGACAGTGACAAGCATTTCAGGGGCTCTTGCTTGTTTTTAAGGTTGATGAGTTTTCTGTTGAAAGGACTAGTTTGTGAACTCACTGGTGCTGATAAACAGAGTCACTGCTAAGGGCGGAAGGAGTCTGGGAGTAAAGCACAGAAGAGAACAGAACTTTACTCCCTTGCCTCCTCAGCTTCCTACACACAACACTTCCAAACAAGTGTCTCTACCAAGATCTCATTCATGTGATCGCCTGTGCACACAGTGGCAGCTGCAAGTGATATTTTTACATTGTGTATCCCAGCACAAGATACATAAGACGATTTAAGTAAATTGCATTTCATGTTCCCAGTTTATTATTTTGGCAATATCTAAGCTGGAAGAAATTAAAGTGCTCTCCAGGTAAAGTGATATAACATTTTTACATTCTCAAATATAATTATATTAATGATGGATCACTGAAATTAATAGTTACTAAAAAATTGACAGTAAAATTGTGAAATACAGTTAGGAAAGACATTAGTTATCCAGACTTGATGTATTGACATTGGATGAAACACTCAAATTCATGGAAGTGTAGTTTCTGAATCTCTAATATCAGACTGGGGATACCAAAAGTTCTGCAAAGAAAAATGCAGTTTGTCGCCTCTGCTTTAGGAAGGGTCGATTGATTATTACACTGTACAGAAACAAGGGCTTCTATATGATATTTCACAGCTCTAATATAAATTCAGAATTTCTTCCTTTTGTTTTGTACATCTTGGATTGCATCTTGAAATTGAATTAGATCTTGGAATGTCTAAAAAGCCAAGAAAAAAGAGGCTTTCCAGATCTTCACAATGGTAGGACTGGAGAATTATTAGAGGTGGCAATTAGTTTTCTTCTATTTCCAGGGAAAGTTCATAAAGTACAAATTACAATTACGGGTCACTAGTTAATACTATCTGTCTGCCACTGTCTGATTCTTATACAGAGAGCAAAATCATTTATTTTTTATGTATAGATATATTGTTTATATTAACCTATTTTGATGACGAATTGAAGGTAAAATTCCCACCTGTAGACTAACTCGAATATATTCTACAGAGAGCAAATTGCCATCATAAGTAATCTATTAATTTTGAAAGACTTCACTGTTCAAGTAATACATATGTATACTTATAAGAGATATACATTTATTACAAAATTAGCTATCTTCACATTCTTTTTTTTTTTTTTTTTTTTGAGACGGAGTTTCACTCTTGTTACCCAGGCTGGAGTGCAATGGCGCGATCTCGGCTCACCGCAACCTCTGCCTCCTGGGTTCAGGCAATTCTCCTGCCTCAGCCTCCTGAGTAGCTGGGATTACAGGCACGCGCCACCATGCCCAGCTAATTTTTTGTATTTTTAGTAGAGACGGGGTTTTACCACGTTGACCAGGATGGTCTTGATCTCTTGACCTCGTGATCCACCCGCCTTGGCCTCCCAAAGTGCTGAGATTACAGGCTTGAGCCACCGCGCCCGGCCTCTTTACCTTCTTATGAAATTTTTCACAATTCATTTGTCCATTAAAATATTTATGAAGAACACATTATATCTCATGAACCTTCCACAAAACAGGTTTGAAGTCTTGATCAAATTATTTTTCCTTCAGTTTCTACTTTTTTATTTTTGGGACTAAGTCTCACTCTGTTGCCCAGGCTGGAGTGTAATGGCGTGATCTCAGCTCACTGCAACTTCTGCCTCCAGGGTTTAAGCGATTCTCCTGCCTCAGCCTCCCTCATAGCTGAGATTATAGGCACCTGCCACCATGCCTGGCTAATTTTTATATTTTTAGTAGAGATGGGGTTTCACCACGTTGGCCAGGCTGGTCTGAAAATCCTGACTTCAGGTGACCCACACACCTCAGCATCCCAAAGTGCTGGGATTACAGGCATGAGCCACCACTCCAGGTGTAGTTTCTTCTTTTAAGACCATAAAATAAGGATAATAACAGCCTATCTCTAAAGGATTTTCTCAATATTAACTGAGTTAACCGAGACAAAACACATAGATTGGTTCCCAGAATGTAATGTTACCAATATTTTTTAGCTAAAGTTCTTTGTAAGTACCAAGAACTGTGCTAAATATGGGTAAACCATGGTATAATTAGATTGATGTAATCCCTTGCTTCTCAGAACTTAGAACTGAATATGAAAAACCAACAGTAGTTACACATTATTAGAGCTGTTGGTTTAATAATAAATATTATTTGCATATAAACTGTAAAAAAGGAGGAAAGTAAGAAAACATATCAACCACCAGTGTTATAATTTTGTGCGGGTGTGTAAAGGGGGGCAGGTGCAAGGATGCTCAAATACAGATCACAGATAATAAAGCATTGTGTGTATGTGATACAGGTAAAAATGTCTGTAATTTACAGAAAGGAAAATCTATGTTTCATTCATATGAAAATGAAACATTTTATAGAGAATGCAGAGATGAATAATGCTTTAATGTAATATCTAATCATGGCTATTGCAAGTCCTTCTAGTTTTAAGGTCACAGAATTTTAATATTGTGAGGTGACCACAGGAAGCCTGGATAAAAATGTTTCAGTTAAAACCACAGTTTCTAAAACGTAATGGTACAATTCCAGTAGATGACATTGAGTAAAAGTGGAAGAAGGTTTCAAAAGATCGAAGAACATATAGATCCTTGTAACCAATAAAATCATTATTAATAAATGTTAGTATTATCCACTGTTTTTCATGAGGATTAGATGAAATTTACCATGAGAAGTGGAGGGAGAAAATGGTAAGGTTGACTTAGGTAAATAGTTCAATCAAATGGATATCTTGAGCTCACACACTGTGCATAAAGTAAATAAATATATTTCTTGGCATAATATAGAATGATTTCCCACATAACCAATGAAATTCTTATTTTCTTTGCTTATTAGTTTGTCCTGAGAGTAGTAATGGCATTTTGCAAGCTGTGCCTGGTTTGTTTCAATGTGATCTCCTGGCCAGTTTGGAAATATTGAACATATACTACTAAGAAAAAAAAAACTTTAGTTATCTACATGGACTTAGTAATTGTTTTTAATTCACAATGTAGTGTATGTATTTAGTCATGAGACTGGCATGAACCCTGGTACTCAGAGGTACTCTCAAAATACATGGTGATGAATCTTGAGAGAGCAATGTGAGAAACCACATTTTAAAATGTTAAATCAAGTGCACACATGTTCATTTCCTTCTTACCTGGAGGTGGATTTTAGATGCCTAATTGCCAATATATATGTATTTTTCATAGATAAGGCATTTGGCTTCTTCCTCAATGGCTTACTTGGGAAGACTCTTGAGTTGGCAGCTGTAGCCATTTTTCTGTTGTCAGAAATGCATAAAAATGCAAGGTCTAGGATGACTCTTAGAAACAAAACTTCCTTTTGTTCTTTCATTACACACATATGGATCCTTGGAAAAAGAAATTATTTTCCTTCTGTCTCTAATTAAACTTTTATGTATCCCTGGCCTGCATTAAGCTAGAAAAACAGGGATCTCAAGTAAATGAGATTACGTATGTGAAAGTACTTGGAAACTGCAAAACACCATACAATTCTAAGACATCCACAAATAATGTAAATATCATACATTCTTTCA